ACGACAGCTGCGGTTGCGTCTCGCGGCCTGCGCCCTCCGGCTGCTGCTGCTGCCGGAGCAGCGTCGCCGTCGTCGTCGCCCTCGCGGTGGTGATCACCCGCGGCAGGATGTCGGTGATGACGGGTGCCCCTCCGAACCACTGAGGGCCGCTCCCCATCACCGCCTTGGCCCCATCACCGCCACCACGATGACCCACGCCATTGCTGCGGTCGCTACCGCCGTCGTCGACACCTTTGACGCATGACGACAGCTCCTCCTCCTCCTCCTCCTCCTCCGCCGCCGCCGCCGCCGCCGCCGCCCTCCGCACAGGCTCGTTGAGTCCTGCACTCGCTGATTGAGGCAATGGCGGAGGCAGGCGGTGGAAGGCCGCAATAACTCCTCCCATGTCACTGTCCCCACATTGCTCCACAGCACCATCCTGCTGCAGCGGGTCATGTGGCTGATGCTGGGGATCTCGACGAACCTGAAATAGGTCAGGGTTTCTCTGCTGCAGCTGGTGGTCAAGGCCCAGTGCGCGGAGCACGGCCGCAATGTTCAGCGGATACGCCGCTCTGGTGGCGGCGGCGGCGGCGTCTGTCCCCCGGGGCTGCTCTGACTGCGGCTTTGACTGCGACGGTGACGGTGGTTGCGGCGCCGACGGCTGCTCTGGCGGCAGGTCCTCTAGTACCAGCACCAGCTCGATGCACCCTGACCGGACGTAGGTGCCTGCCAGGCTCAGTCCGTGATGGGAGACCAGATCCGCGAGGCGCTGCTCGAAGCCCGGTGCGAGCTGGTCAGGCTCGGCCCAGGGTATCTGCAAGCGGGACGCGCGAGACGCTGAGGAGTCCGTCCGTCAGCGACGCAAAGCGCAGCAACCCCACCCACCCACACTCAACACCCAGCAACCCACCCACCAACCCACCCGCAATGAACACACGAACGGGCAAGAAAACTGAAAAACTGAAAAAACTGATCTGGGTCACCAGGGGCAGGTTCCAACTGCCAATATGTACCGCCAAAAAGCAAGAACGACTCCCCCGCCCGCCCCGGACCCCCCTCCCAAGGACCCCTCATCCCGGTTTCCTCGGCGAAGCAATATGCATCTGTCTGTTTTTATGACACACGGCTCCGTGCCGTGCATGCCGCATGCGGGGTGATTTGGGATGTGTAAGACCCAACCCGCCTTCTACATTCACGGCAGGTGGTTACAGGTCGTTACACTACTGGAAGATATCTCACAACCCTAACTAACTAAACCAACTAAGCTAACAAGCATGGTGCTAAGGTTAAAGCAGGCTAGGGGGACTCTTAGCCGACCGAAAGCCGAATCCACCCGGCCTCGCAGGCGCTAACATCCCCCCCACCCACCTTGACGCGCAGAACAGTACGCCGTACAGGGGACTTGTACTTGTGCGCCGCCACGGATGGTTGAAACCGGCTTGCCGGCGCGGGCAGTGAATCCTTAAAAGCTTGAATGCTGTCAGTGGGAATACACAACGACGCAGTGGATGTGGGAGAACACCGCGATGCATTAGCGTTTGCTGTCGCTGCGGCCGCCGCTGTTGTCGCTGCTGTTGCTGTTGCTGCTGTGGCGGCGGCGGCGGCGGCGGCTTCAGCCTCTAGTGTCTGGGTCTCCGTCGCGGCGCATGCCCGAGCATGACGGCGCATGCCCGAGCAATCCTCCCGTCCTTCGGGCTCCGCAGGCCCGTGGGACATCAACCCGCCTGCGACGGCCGTGGCGTCGGAATCGGCTTTTGCATCCACATTGCCTTCCACCGCCCCAATCGCTGCCTTCGGGCTTGATTCCACCACTCCTGCTGCCGCTGCCACTGCCGCCACTGCCTCTACCTTCAACTTCCTAGGTGGTGACAACATATCGCCACTGTCCAGATCCCCGCCACCTTGCAGCAAATGGTCCTCCCCCACCTCCTCCCCCAGCTCCTCCTGCGCCTCGAAGCCCTTGGAAAGCCCAGCACTTGTCTTCTCGCTTGCTGCTGAACCATCCCCCCCGTGATGCCTCCAATGTGAACCGCTGATACCGCCCGCCATGGCGCTCGCCACCGCCGATGCCGTGGCAGCAGCCGAGGCGGTGCGCCGTGCTGGCCGGTGCTGCTGCTGTTGCGGCCTGTGGCGGCGGCCTGTGGCGCTGCTGGCAGCCTGTGACGCCATGGAGAGGTACAGCGTGGTCATCGCCACCAGCACCCTCGTCAGCAGCTGCCAGGCTAAGCTTGCCCTGCCTCCGGGAGCCACATCGCGGTGCCAGAAACATACGACCATGTGCACCAGCGCTGCTAAAACGCAGTAAGCCACCTCTACCGCAATGTTAACATCCTGCGGGGTTGAACGGTTTGCAGAATCATGACAAGTCATGAAAGCTGTCAGAGCAGCGGGGCGATGTGCGCGAGACGAGGGTGCAGTTGTGGCCATGGAAGAGGATATGCACAAAGCTATGGAAAGAGCGACAGCCTCCTCTGTGTCTAGAACGCTTGCATCGTGTAGTGGCTTCTTACCCACACGAACAGCAGGGAGCTGAAGAAGGTCACATCAAAGACCGGGTAGGTAATGAACATGCAACGTAGGGCCATCGTTGACGGGTGGTGTTTAGGCCCAAGCAGGAGGTGGAATAGCGACATACTGCCTCTCTCCACATACATTGTTACGGGAGCCACCACCTGAGGCGCAGGCAGAATCACGGCGAGCGTTTCGGGGCAGTAGGCAAAGCAAGTACAGAGTTTAAGCACATAACCTGACAGTAAGGGGGAACTCTAGACTTCCGTCTGGAGAGCACAGCTTGCTCTTGCAACGGCTTTTCGCCACTTCGCAACTCCCACCCAGCGGCACGGCGCAAGCACACGTATGTGCATCTCGGCACAACATCCAATTACCTGACTGTATATAAAAGGAGGAAGCGTAAAGGCCGCAACCATTCGGGTAACCAGTGTCAAAATGGCCACTGTCGCCCATGCGTCGGCAAGCTGTACCCGTATTATGTCGTGAAGGGCGAATGGTGCTTGCTTGATAACATAGTATGTTCGCTGCAGCCTGCTGCCTTCGCAAGGGTAGCCTGCTAACGTGGGGGAGTGCACCGGCAGCGTGCAAACGTGCGGAGGTCCCGCGCAACAAGGTGCCGCAAGCTGCTGATACGATACTAAGCCAACTATCGCCAGGGCCACAGATATAATTTTATCGCTAACGCCAACCCGACTTTGCCGCGGCCTGGTCCCAGGCAGCATTCTTCTAATCCTATTTGTGCGATACTAACATGGAAAGACAGAAACCTACGCATAATCAGATAGGGGAAAATATAGACAATCTAGCAGGTTTTGAAAAGTCGAGGGTCGAGCTGCCAACCGTCGAACTATCAGATTCTGCCGTCCGCCGTACAGCTACACCGTTTCTCTTGCTGCCCTCCCGCACGGGCTTTCCTATGAGCTCATAGATATGAGATAACTACGAATTATTTCTCGATATTTTTCAGTTAAGAAGGCTGTTTGCTAATGAATTCAGGGTCATACAGTGCAACAGCCTTAAAGGGCGGAGTTATGCAGCATTCCTGCATATATGATTCTAGAAGGCAAAATTACTTGACAAGGGTAAACGCTTCCCATCAGTTCGACAGAATCCTTGTATACGTCTGTCCGGGACATGATATTGAACTGCACGCAGTCACCAGAGCTGTAACCTCGAAACATCTCGTCTTGATGTAGCACAGGTTCCACAACCCATGTCCAGGCACTGTTCCAGCAGAGTCCAGTCGAATGCAATGGCAGGACAGGAGGGGCTGTAGAGCACCGAGACCACATTTTGTTTTCCAAATTTACAACGGCTTTCAGCACACTATGAGCATGTGCATATGTCACCGCTCTGCAAGATACAGTTACGCCCACATCTTTGCCAGACCCACGTACACATAGAAGGACACCCGCTAACCATATACCCCCTCCAGCCAGCCCGCCACAGCCTCTCCTGCCTCTTTTATCACCCGAAACACCTTCTTCCCTCCCTTTCCTCCTTCAAGCCTCCGCCGCCTCTACTACACGTCCCCACGTCCAAGCCCTCAAAAGCCCTTCGGCAATTGCAGAGGCGGCTCCGCCACAGCACCCCCACCCCCACCCCTACCCCCCCTCCCACTTCCACCACGTAACAGACCCCTGGGCCGCGGCACCCTCTCGTCTCCTGGCTCTGCGCATCCCGGCCCTTCCCCTCCCGGGGTTCCTGCCCCCCCCAGCGGCCCCAACCGGGGCACCACTTCAGGGCCCCCCACCGCGAACAGCGGCGCGAAGGGGGAACCGCCCTCCGGAGCGGAAGGCTGGCGAGCAAAGTGCGCGTTGAGCTGAATCAGGCGCTGCGGGGGGGGAGACCACCGCGGGGGCACCGGGAGTGCGGTACATGTGGTGGGGATTGCAAAGCGGGATATGGCGTGGTCGCGTGGTGTAATCAGATACGGATCTTCTGATATGTGCGTGTGGGGGGGTCGCGCAGGACCATCAGCACGCACTCAAACTCTTTAAGGCTAGGAGCGTGTTTGGGGCAAAAAAGGTCCCAGTACGCGATGGAGACGGGCGGGGAGGGTAGAGAAAAGAAGTGTTACATGTGCATGAGAACTGAAAAAGGGTGTGACGGGAAGGTAGTGATTATGAGAGGGCCGCTCCTCCCCCTCGCTCCCCCCTTCAGGTCACAGTCTGCGCAATATACCACACGTGTGCATGGTGTACCTTATATGCTCGATTAATATACTCAATAATATTACGCAAATACAATAAGTTCCCCCCAACCCGACTCTTGTCCGCCTCTTTCGCTCCGCCGCCAACTCGATCCCGACCTGCCCTGCAGCCCAAAGTTGGCGCCTTTACGGCAGTTCCCATTCGTACCTGTACGGCTTGTCGCCGTTGTGCAAAGCTCCATGACGGGTTTCGGAGCAGGGTGTCTAAATAGCGCCGCGACTGTGGGCCCAGAGGGTCATCTGCCCAGTGGACAATGTGGGGGTGGGGGGTGGGGGTGGGGTGGGGGCGGGGGGGGCTTCAGGCGTGATGAAAAAGCCGGGACGGACCGGAACGCCGTACCCGGGGGGGAGGGCAGCGAAGGGGTTGAGAGGATGAGGGATGGCGGTTTGTTTGTGTTCGTGTCAGGTCCCCGATATGTGTGTGCGTGTGTGTGTATGTGTGTGTATGTGTGGCTTTCCCCTCTCCAGCCTAGGGGTTACCCCGACCGCTCCCAATCCCCCCCCTGAGAGACAGACAGGGGGAGCCGGCTCGTGCTGTGCACAAAGCACAAAGCTGTGTGCAGACATTCCGCCTCTTGCGTTCCTTCAGCCTCCTTCCTTTCCCCCGCTGCTCCGAAACCCGGTCGGCCCGGGCCCTCAGAACGGCAACGTAAACCTCTCTCCTTTCCACATACCGCCGCCATGCTTTAGATAGCACATGTGGCCATCATTATTGGCATTTTGGCATTTTTGGCGTGTATGGTTCCCCTCCCCCCCTTCAGCAAACACAGCAGCGCAGCAGCACAGCAGCAGCGGGGTGTTACCCACCCACCTAGGGGGATGGATTCCTCGAGCATCTGCTGCAGATACATCTCATCAGCCTGATAACGACAGGGAAGTGAGGGGGAAATGGACACGTCCATATCGAGTTGGCGAAGTGGCGAAGTGGAGAGCAGTTTAGTGAGGGTAGGGTGGGGTGGGGTGAAGGAGGGGGGAAGCAAGACGAGGAGGAGTTTGTGGAAAGGGGAGGAAGTGCGAGAGGGGGGGGCCAAGACGAACCACGTGAACGCGTGAAGCTGCTGCCAAGGAAAGAGTCCACAAGAAGTAGAACTGACAGGGAAGGGGCGGAGAAAGAGGTCGTATTTAATTCGAGAACCCTGGGAAGCATTAACAGGGGGTGGGGTGGGGTGGGTTAACAGGGCTGCCGCCGCCGCCGCCGCAGCAGCAGCAGCAGCACGAATAGCAGAGGGGGCCACAGGACAGGCAACCAGCACAGATGATGATTACCGAGATATCCGAGGGGCCGCCCACTCCCCCCGCCAATCCTCTCAGTCAGTTCTACGTCTTTTACACTCTTGCCCTGGCAGCACCTTCACTCGTCCATGGCTCGTCTTTCCCCAATCCTCTCTCTTTATCTCACCCACCTCCCATCCAGCCGCGAAGCGCTACGAGGGAGGAGCTAGGTGTGGTTCCCCCTTCCCCCCTTCCCCCCCCAGCTGCCCACCAAGCCACCTCCCCCCCCACTTCCCCCCAGCCTCACCCGTGGGTTGAAGAAGCCGCTGTGACCCGCCGCCCGGAGCTGCTCCTCCCTCTCCCACCGACCCGCCTCCCACTCCTCCAGTGCAGCCGCGCGGTACAGACGCCACTCAGCATCACCCAGCGGCCGGTGACCCTGACAGGTTCCGGAGCAGGGGAGATGTCCGACGTTGGGGGTTAGATGTCGGTAGGGGGGAAAGACGAACCACGAACGAGTCGGTTGGGGGGAGGGGCCGTAAGACGAATTACAGACGAATGCAGCGATACCAAAGATAGACATATAGGAGGGGGAGGAGGGGGAAAAGACAAAGCACGGGCGAATGAAGCTGCTGCCAAGGAAAGCGTGTGCTGCGGCAGATGTACACGTGGGGGAGGAGGGCACCCACCAGCGCCTCCAGGTAGGCATCCAGCTGTGGTCGCATGGCCTCCAGGAAGGTCTCCTCACCCTCACCACCAGCCTCGGGGGGCCGCAACGAGGGATGTGTCCAGCTAGCAGTCGTGGGACGACAGGAGGAAGGAGAGGTGGAGGTGGAGGTGGAGGTGGAGGTGGAGATGGAAGGAGAGGAGGAGGCGGAGGACGAGGAGAGAGGGCTGGGGGGTAGCCCGCTGATGGGCAGGTGCAGACGTGGTTCGTGGGTCATCTGCAAAAAAAAACCGTGAAGGAGATGGGTCAGGGCTTTAGGGTAAGGTAACGAAATGAAGGGTTTTAGGGTAAGGTAACGAAGCTACGGGACGAAGGGTTGATGTGATGGGGGAGGAGGAGAAAGGATGGGAAGATGGAGGAAGGAACGGGGCGTTGCAGGCTTTCGTACAGCACACGTTTTCCACTTGACAGTCCTCACCCCGGCGGTGGAAATACGATATCAGTTTCTTCAACAGGTGCTGTAGTCACATCCCCCTCGGACGCATTCCTGGCGGGGGGATTATCACTCCTTCCAAACCTTCTCCATCGCCACCTCCTTGCGGGTTACTTGCGACAGTGGTGACGACACACACGTACACGTACTCCTCCCCATCGCGTGCACATACAGACGCACACACACAGAGACACACACGCGCGTGCGGCTAAGCTTCATAAAGTAGACGCACACACACAAACACACACAGCACCGGCTCCCTCGACCACCAGTTACCCAGGCCCACACTGCTGCTTTGTCTGTCTGTCTGTCTGTCTGTTCGTTTGTCTGTCCGTCCGTCCGTAACGCTCTCACCGTGAGGTACCTCTCGACGTCCATACCCAGGTGCTGCATGGACAGCATTCGGTGTGTGGAGTCATGGGTGGAGCCCACAGCCAGCGTCTGGAGCAGTGAGGGCAGGAGGAGGAGTAAGAAGGCAGGGGGAGAAAAACGAACCACGTGAACGGGTGAAGCTGCCGCCAAGGAAAGAGTTTACAAGAAGCAGAACTGTGACCAGTACGCGGGGTAGGGGGGGTTAAGAAATGAAGAGGAGAGTGAGGCGGACGTGTGAACAGGTACCAGATATAGGATACCGGGGGGCGCCAAGGAAAGAGGAGACAGGAGCACCGACACACGTTGCGCGAGCGGGCAGAGAACAAGAGAGAGAGAGAGAGAGAGAGAGAGGCGCACATGACGCAGAGAGGGAGAGGGCCAAAAGGACCGTGAAGAGACAGACGTCCCGTGAGCGTGGATGCCCCCGAGCGGGTAACTCGTGCCGTCATCTTCACAAAAGGAGAAGCAAAGCACCACCACCTTAAGCTGCGGCCGACGTCCCAAGCACCGCCACCAGCACTTTGCCAGTGGGGGGAGCTCCCGTCAGCGGACTTTGGCGGTGCGGAGCGCCACCAAGGGACAGGTAGCCCAGATCCCGAAGATTGGGGCAGCGGGCAGGGCAATCCAATCCACCCACTCACCCATATACGAGAACGCCTGCGTCATTCCACCTTCCACACACTTCCATGCTTACATACATACATACATGCATACAGGCAAACAGACAGACAGATTGACAGACATACGACCTCCCCGCAATCCACCGACCCACCTGCAGCCAGCAAGTGAAGTCTACAGCACCAGAGGACCCCAGGAGCGCCGTCAGCGCCACCGGCACGCGGCCAGCCCTGGCGTCCGCCGCCGCATTACCGCCGCCGCCGCCGCTCCGAGACCATTCCGCCAGCTCCCGTACCGCCGCCGCCGCCGCTGCGGCAGAGGCCCCGTCGTCGCCTCTATCTTGACTGGCTGCTGCCGCCACTGCCCTTCGTTGCTGCTCAGCTACCAGTATTGCCAGTGCGGTTAGCTTGTTCCGCTGCGACTGGGCTGCCTCGGGGGTGACAGATACCTGGCGAAGAGGAGGGGTCAATACATACATGCATACAAATTTACACACGAACATCCTCAATCGTCGTACATCCGTACCCGTCCATAAACGTACCCTATTATTGTACAAGACACGGAGGCGGCAGAGCAGCGCGCAGGGCAGGACGCAAGAGATAAAAGAGATATCGGAGACGCACGAGCGCGTTGCCTCTAAACCAATGAGAAGGGACCAGAGTCGCATATAATATCCAACATCAACGAACGGATTAATCGAAAAAACACACATGTGCTTTCTTCGCACGCGGGATGACGGAGGAAGGAGAGGCACCGGCGACTCGAGAAACTATGTGATATACACAGTTCGGGAAGCGCGGAATTTCCTGTATTCAGTTCGCCATCGAGACGCATCCTCAATGACACGGAAGAGGGAAAACTGAGGTCGTGCGGGGTTGCCGAGGTCGGGGGCAGAGCATCCAACCACCCAACATCACATATCACATATCAAATATCACATCACAGACCTTCGCCTAACAGAGTCATCCATTTGCCCCTTCGCTCTCAGCCCCTTCAGGGACCGGTATCGTCCTCTCTAGCTCCGAAACCATTTCTCTCTCTCTGTGTCTCTTACTTTCCTAACCCCCACCTACACACGCCGATCCGTCTCTCACTTGCACTCGCAAGAACCGCAGCAACAGCGCCAGCAGCGGGGCCGGAAGCACCAACAGGCCCTTGCGTGCCTCCGCCAACCAGGCCTTGGAAGGAAGAAGAGGGAGGGGGGGGGGGAGGGGAGGGAGATGGCGAGACGGAGGAGAGGGCAGGTAAGGAGGAGCGGAGGACGTGTCCCCTCACAACTACAACACCAAGTAGTGCTCCTAGCCCTGGCCCCACCACCGGCCCGGCAACCCCGCCGTATGTAACACCACACGGGTAGCAAGGGTGGGTGCAGACCTCACCATTCGGTCCTTCGGTCCACAGCGCCAACCCGCCAATGTGTGTGTGTGGCCCTAGGAGGACCGTTGACCGTTGATGTGCCTCCAGAGTCCCCTCCCCCTCCCCCTGCCACACCTGCAGGTTCCCAACACCTTGCAACACAGCGCCCTCTCCGGCAGATGAGAGCGCCTCCGCCACACGCCGCCGCTCCTGCAGCACAGCCGCATCGTCGCCGCCGTCAGTACGAAGAACGTAATAGCTGTCGTACAATAGCCGCGTGTGCGGCGGCAGCGCTTGCACCGCCGCTGCCAGAGATGCGTCGGACGGCAGCTGCCGTGGCGCCGACGGTGCCGGCGGCGTTGCCACATGCCTGGATGCGCCGATAAACAGACAAACATACAGATAAAACCTCTTTCATGCGTTTTCGCTGAAGTAATCCTTCCTTCTAGATTCTTCTACATTCTCCTAAAGGTCCTTCTATCAGCAATACAGATCCAACGAGAAGAACATTTACAGCGGAGTCCGCCCACAAGAAATGGGTCAAGTGGATACGTTGCAACATGGGCCCAAGGCCTAGAGTATGTGGCAACGGACAACAAAGGGGCAAGCCGAGTACGGCAAGATGTCGTATAATCAAACCAATGAGATTTGAAGCTCTCCAAAACAAAAGAAAAGTCGTTTTACAGAAAGAGGGCTTAATGCCCAACCGCCCAACAGTTGGATGCATAATCGTACAGTGCCGTACAGTAAACACATGTGGGTAACGACCGCCGTGCTTTTCCAACTGGACCGCGCTGCTGGTGTGCCGTACCTGTCATGCACGAAGTCCAGCTCTGCCGCTACCGCCTCCTCTTGCAGCAAGGTTGCCGCCGTCGCCGCACTCGCCTCATCCGCACGCGTCGCTCGCCACGCCGCGTCGGCATCGCCGTACAACGCCGCCGTCAGCGCTGCCGTACCGCCTTGCATGCGCCCCGTCTCCAGCAGCCCCAGCACCAGCGCCTCACGCAGCTCCGGAGCCATGCCTCGCAGCCGTGCAAGACTGCCGTACCCTCCTGACAGCAACCCCGAAACCAACGGCGCCCCGACGGCGCGCAGCCACGACTGCGTCGCCTTCTCTTTCGGCTGCGGATCCCCGGTTCTAACTGACGGTTTCGGAGCGGTTGCCGCCAGCACCAACGCCCGACCCGCCGACGCCAGCCGCTGTCGGGCCGAGTCAAGCCGGGTTGCCAAGCTCGCAGGTACGGGGACTGCTGACGTGTCGTCGGTACGGATGCCGCCGGCCGCCAGCTGTTTGGAAAGCTGTGAGAGCCATTCTTGCAGCTCCTGCTCCGAAACCTACCAAAAAAAGTAAACGAGGACGAGGAGAAAATAGAACGCAAACCAGTCCGGCCAGAGCGATCGCTAGATAGGCTATGTCGACAGGTGAGGGCCCGGCGCGCTTGCAAAAACACATCCACCCGCACATGAACATGTCCATGGACTCGCCCAAGCTCCCGAACCGTGCGTTGCCGCTTCGGGAATACACGATTAGGCTCGGGCTGCGTACAACCAGCTCGTGGCCCTCACCTTCAGCTCGTCCATGTACGACAGCTCCACGGGCTCCAGCGGCAAGCCAAGCAGGTGCAGCGCCGCCACCACATCTTGCCGTACACCGGACGCGCCGCCAGCACAACCCAGTCGCTCCTCCCCATGGCGCAGCAGCGTCGCTGCCGCCAGCCAGTCCGCCGCTGCCGCACGCTGCTCTGGCCCAGCCGAAGAATCGCGCCCAGTGCCCAGCGCTAGTGCCGTCAGTACGGCGTCCGCGTCCAGCGGCGCCTCCACCAACGATCCCGCCGCCAACCCCGTCACCTGCAGCGCCTTTGCGCGCGCGGCGTCCACCGCCGCCCTCAGCGCCGGCAGTAACAAGCTCCCCCCTGACGGGGCCGTCACCGGCGGCACTTGCCCTTTCTGCCGTTGCTTCCCCTTTCCGCCGCCGTTGCTGCCCGTCGGCGCCGCGTCCAACGCCGCCGCTGCCGCCGCCGGCAGCGCCCCGCCGCCGGCAGTGGCTGGCCACAGACCCCCAAGCTCCAGCACAGTTGCCAGCTCCAAACTCCGAGATGCGGCAAACCGCAGCAGCGGCTGCAGCTGCGGCAGGGCCAAAAGGGCCTCCCAGGAGACGACGTACGGCACTGCCGCCGCCGCCGCCGCCGCTCCCTCTGCCGCCCGACCAAAGGCGAAGGCTTGTAGGAGCTCCAACTCCGTCCTGGCGACTGTGCTCGGCGGTGAGGTGCTGCTGCTGCTGCTGCTGCTGCCCACCGTGATTCGGGCCAGCTTCGGTGAAGAGTGATGTAGCGCAAACCGAACATGTGTGGGGAAAGTGGCGCAACGCGGGGTGTATGCTGGCGGAAGGGCAAGAGGCCTAGTGTTGCCATAGTGGTGTACGGCAACATGACGATCCCCTTTGTGTTGGCAAAGCACGCCAACGTACCAAACCAAACTAAACCTGAACCCTTTCCCCCCACACACATACATGCCCAACAACCCACACAGTTACTGTCAAAACACACATATTCCTCTATTCCCACCTGCAGTACACCGTCGTACCACGGCTCCGAAACCAGCATCGCAATGCTCCCCATGTTCCCGTCCTTCCCCTGTTGCTGCTGTGGATCCTGCTGCTGCTGCTGCTGCTGCTTTTCCTGCGGTTCCGAGCGCTTCGGTAGCCTCTCCATCAGCAGCCTCCGTGCCTGCACCACCAACTCCTGAGCAGTCCACACTAAGATAGCTGGGGGCGGCACCGCACCTGTGTGCAATTGGTGAGGGAGGAAACGGGAAGTAAAAGTAGTAGGGGTAGTAGTAGTCCGAACAACCAAGGCGATGTTAGGAGATGCTAGAGTCAGCGCTAGCGGGGGGTTGTCTGTCCTGATATCCCATCATCGACTTCATTAACGTTACAACCATCACAGCTACAACAACCACCGCAGCTACCCCAGGTGATCAACTCCTGCAGCACCTGCCGCCATTTGCATGATGGCTGCCGCCCTCTGCTGCGGCGCCGGCGCCATTTTCTGAAGACTCGCCAGGAAACGCCGGTCAGAAGACAACGGGTCTTTGCCGTACTCCTCTAGCTGCCGTACATTGGAATGCGTCAGTACGGCCATGCTCTGGCGGAGGGGCGCGAGCGGGGGTGACATCAGGGCAGGGGGAGGGGGGAAAGGGGAGAACGGAGGAAGGAAATGGACACGAACACATCATGGAAAGCTGGCTGTGGACGAGGTGCGTGGGCGGGGGAGCGGGAGCTGGACGAGCCAACCGCAGATTCTCCCCTCCTACAAAATCGCATTTGGGTTTCGGTTCCGGAGCTGGATCTCCGCCGAGTCAGGATCTTCATGTTACTCAGGGGATGGACAACGGCAGCAGAGGACGGAGGCCATCCTTGAAATGGACACGGCAGCAGCCTCACCCGTCAACGCGACGCTACCCAATCCCGAATCCAGTTAACCTACCTATTCTATTTATGAGGCTACTTATAGCAGGTTGTATAAAGTTGTACGGGAAAAGACAGAAACACGCACCTGCAGCGGATTTCCAGGCTCGCCAAGCTGCAGCTGCAATCCCTGGAAGACTGCGGCCTCCTGTAGCTGGCGATCTGGAACGACCGCTAGCTGAGACACCGGCTTGGGGGAAGGCGCTGGAGGGGCCTGTTGGCTGCGCGGGGGAGCTGCCGAGGCAGCCCGTTTATCGGGTGCCGTGTGTGTTGCTGCAAGACGGCTCCTGAGCTCTGTCATGGCTGCCGACGCCGCTTGCGACGGCTGGACTGGCACCTTGGGCCGCACTGTTCCCGGTGCGCCATCGGCTTGCTTTGTTCCAGGGTCCACTCTGCCAGCGCCATCAGCTCCATGGTCGGTTGTGCTAGCAGGTGTTGATTGTGAAGCTGCTGGCTGATGGTCAGACTGGCCGCGTTCAGAGCTAAATGCTAGTCGTGCTTCTTGACCAATCAGATGGGATGAGCCGGCAAATGTTGTTCCAGGACAAAAGGTGACCTGGAGGCCTCGTTGCCGGAGCTGCTGCCCCAGCATGAGGGGCTAGACTGATCAACTAAGAAACGAAATAAACGGGACGTTTTACGCTCAGATTGAAAATTTGTCATGCAAAACCAGGTGACTCCCACTCGTGCAATTCATCGCAGCAAAACGTCGTACATCATGACGCAAGTTAAATTTATAAAACGTCTAGATGTGAAACAACAAGTGGTCGAACAGATGATCTTGTCATGGGAAGTTACACCATATCATGGATTAATAGCACGCAGTTCCGGGACTTGCTCAGCTCTCAGGAGGCTTTTTCATCGCTACAGGCAGTCTAGATTTGGCTTTAGGATTTGCATGTAGCCTGTCCAAACCATGGTTTGCCAAGGTAACATACTTTCCCGTCGGGCCATCGGGGCTTGGACGCCGACAGGGCGCCTTTTTTGCATGCCGCTGTTAACACAGTGCCGTAGCTACAACATTCGTCCTACAGCTCCTCTTAAGCCAACCCTACAGTGCGCATGCAAGAGTCCCGCAAACGTCCTGAGCAGAGGCCCGCGGGTCATCTTGCGGGTGCTGAGGCCAGGCTACCAACTCCGCCGAGTCTCAAGGAGCCGACGCGGCCTGCTTTGCAAAGCGATTAGCCTTCCAGACACCGTTGACGCGACCCTTCGCAACATAATCTCAATCTCCGCAGTCGTCGGCATTAGCTACGCGGTGCTCCTAGCAGCGGTTTCGGAGCCACCGCCACCGCAACAGCCGCCAGCGCCGTCCTCCTTTCCTCGCGCGCTGCCGCCAGCGCCGGGGGCGATTCGCGGCCCTCGCGCAAGTGGCAGCGGCAGGGATGAAGATGACAATTTTGTGTGGGGATTAATGGGTTTCATTAGCTTTCTGCCCCTATTCAATTGGCTGGTAAGGTGGATAAAATTTGGGCTTCGGCCACATGCCGCTTTGCAACTAAAATGTATGATAGGAAAATGGGACACGAATATTTGGTTGCACGTTGGTTTTAATTTGCCTAGAATAATAAGACCCAGAAATCCTATTTTTGTTACTTGGTGATCAAGCATCACCCGGGATGCCATTTGTTGGAGTCTTCCACTGAAGTGACGGTGAATACAAAAGCTGTGTTTTTGTACGGACTCGTCGTACAATGTCTTGCGGTAGCAGAAAAAAGCTGATTCGCTGAAACCAGAACGCGATAGTACTGTTAGCTTTCTATTGAGCTGTCTTAGCGGCGCACTTAACAGCTATGGCACGTTTATCGACCACGGAGCATGCATTTGTCTAGCTCACAAACGAATACTGCATTTGTCTTCCTCACAAACGAACATCCACACAAATTGGAACAGATGTGACCATTCCCGTAGGCCTGGGTGCTAGCGGCCATCAGCGATGAAGACCGCGCGGCACTGTACGGCGTCTACGCGGCGCTGTACGGCTCTCCACTGCTGCTTAGAGGGCTCGATTGGCAGGACCCTTGGATGGTGTTCATGCTGGTGCTATGCGTCGTACACGTACAGGTACGAGGTTTCGTACACCTACGCATGCCCGTATGCAGGTTCCACATGTGGCCGCTTGCACAAGCACACAACCCTGGCTCAGAACTTTCTTCGATCCTTTTCATGTCGAGTCTAATTGTAGTCTTCAGCGTGTTCCTCATAATCGCCGGTTCAATTCCGTCTGCCAGCATTTTTTCCCCCACACGGCAACACATGGTTCGCCATCGCAGGCGGAGCGCATCGCTCAGACTGAACCCGAGGCTCTTCGCTCCATCCGCCCCGTGGGGCTGGCGGGCGCAGCTCTACGTGGTGTGATGCGCGGCACGGGCTCACTGGTGACCGGGCTGGGTGGAGTGATCGTGGAGGACGCCAAGTAGGCATTCAACTGCGCGAGGGGGGGGGGAAGAGCTCGAACACACGGGTCCGGGAGACGCGCGCGAGGGGTTAGGGGGTTCAAATGTGGGGGCGCCCGTGTGCTTGTGGTGCGTGTGGTGCTGGTGCGTGTGGTGGTTTCCTCTGTGCAGGAGGCTACACTCGGGAGGGGTGTAGCTGGGGGGGGGTACGGCCATCCATTGGCGCGCAGCTGTAGCAGCTAGCTACGACATCGGGCGGGTGACATATGCGTGTGTTTATGTGTTTATGTGTGTGTGTGTTTATGTGTGTGTGCGTGTGTGTGTATATGTGTGTATGTGTGTGTGCGTGTGTGTGTATGTGTGTATGTGTGTGTACTTCTCGCGGACTGAGCCGCGTAAAGGAAGTGGAAGAGATGGTAACTTGACGTCTTTAGAACTTACCCGGGTGTGTGTGCATGTGTTCCGGCTTATCGGGAACGTCACACCCATTGCCGTAATGCACGTAAACTGCGACGCATGATTATTGAGTGGCAATTGGCTGTGTGGATGCATGTACAGGCGCGCTGTACGACGCCCCGGTGGCAGCAGTAGCAGCAGCAGTAGCAGCACCCCGCCGGCGGAGCTGGGACCGGGCGAGGATCGGCTGCAGCTGGAACAAGATCCAGATCTGCTTGGATCCAAATCTGGAGTTGGTCAGCAACAGCTCCTGGATCCACGGAGGGATCCAACACGGAATCCGGAACTGGAAGACTTTGCGAAGCTGGAGCTTCGCCAGTTTGATGAACAGCTCAGGCAGGCGGAGCAGCGGCGGCGCCTGGGGACCCGAGATGGCGGCGGCGGCGGCGGCCGCGGTAGCGGGGCTGGCGGAGGTGGCGGGGGTGCCGGCGGCGATTGAGCCGCCAGTTGAGCCGCCATTGCCGAAAGAGGCCTTCCCCGTCATCCATAACGTGACGGTGTACAGGAGCCGTCTCGGGGCTGCAGGGGGAGCGCGAAGAGGAAGAGGCGGCACAGAGTACTGTTGACCAAAGCCGAAGAAAGGAGGGTATTAAAGTGCATATCGTGGGAGGGAACGGGATATGTGTAAAAGAGCCACGTTGCATTTGAAGGTTGTGAATTAGGTCGTTGATGGTCGATTACGGGAGAAGCGTTCAGGTGGTTGACACGACAGGTTTGGAAACCTGGCAGCTGGCGTATGGAGATTTTCCAGGCCTGGATCTCTGCTGTACAATGTACGAACATGTAAATATGACAGACGCTGTCGGGCATCGAAGATTGCAGGCATAATGGTGGTGTAGGAGACATTTGTGTTTTTCAGTTTGTGCAACGGAAGTCATTCGGCAGCCCGCCAGCTGGCGCCACCCACCAGCTGTTTTGGAACCAGTTGGTTGGTACGTTTAAGTGTTCGTTAATTCCCTTAGGACTCAATATTGGCAAGTTGGTGTATCATGGCATGCGCTTTGAAGAAATGTTGGCTGCATACGTGATGTATTATGGATTTGTTGTTGGCCATTGTTTCCGCGTATTATCCAGGGGACTCGCCGGCTGCCCTTTGTGAGATAGCTTCCCTATGGCTGTTAGTTCTCAAACGATGCACTGTTTTCGGGCGAGGGGCCCCCCCGGGCGTGAAACGCCTTTCGGGGGCCCGAGGCCCCCAGGGTTCATTGTTGTCAGTCAGTCAGTCAGTCAGTCAGTCAGCGTCATGTCTTATGATGAACTCGCATGACACGCTGAACTGAGAATTGCATGTGCACGTGCTGTGGCGCCCCCTGCTTCTGCTCATGCTGCTTTTGACGGCTGTGCGGGCTTCCGTGGAATAGCTGTTTATGGCTCAGCTCCGCCACACTCCGCAACTCCAGCCCGTCCATGCCAGCTGCTCCAGCGCTTCCCTCCTGGCCTTCTGTTCCGTCTCACGCTCATGTCTCAACACATGTCCTATTCACCAGTGCAACTGGCAATAGGCTGGGTTCGCGCACTACCAGGAGGCTGTAGATGCTTCAGCCGTTCTTGTTGAGATGCAGGCGGCGCGCAATGCACCGTCCATGGATTTGCATGGGCGCCTTTGCAGTAAGTGTATACACCAGATTCGTAAATCACTCCAACACCGCCGGCTGCCCCACCGGCCCTAGCAGCCATCCACAATAATGAGCGTACAGTCCAAACACGACACCGCTCCTCCGCGTGCAGCCCAGTGCCGTACAGCCTCCGTTGCGGAACACTACGGGGCAACTGGCTGCACCGGGGCCGAGCCGTTTTCGGCTTCGAAGAAGCTGACTACCCTATTCACTAATTTGTCTTTGGTCCGGGTATTTTTTTGGGAAGTTTACAAGCGTTTTCGCATCTCCTACCCAACTCGCCGGCAGGGGAGAGCGTTTGCTTTGTTAAGCAGCTCTTTGTGTGTGTGAGTAGAGGGTAGGACAAACTGTCGGGCAGAGCAATTCTTTTGACTGCCCCGGTCGCACAATTCCCGTGCTTCCCTAATTCGACACCCTGAACACGCTAATTCTGACTGTCCGAATGTCCCTGCCAGGCCAATTCGACACCCTGTCAGCCTAATTCTGACTGTCGGAATGTCCCGCCAGGCTAATTCGTATCCCTGTCAGGCTAATTCTGACTGTCGGAATGTCCCTGCCAGGCCAATTCTTATCCCTGTCAGGCCAATTCAAGGGCCTGTCCCGGCAATTCAACTTGTCCCAGGTGTCAATTTAAACCCTTCTACCGAGCAATCTAGACCAATTGCAGGGTCTGCCCCCAAACTCTCAGGCACGCATTCAGAATCGCGGAAGTTGAAGGAACTTTACGAAACAAGGGGAGCACTTACAAATATCTCTCGTATGTTTGTTGGTTTCAAATCCGTACATGCTTGTACGGTAACAAGGCGTGTGGGGCTCCTGCCACTTCCTGCCCCATATGGGACACGGTACACAAGGCGTGTGGGGCTCCTGCCACTTCCTGTCCCATATGGGGCAGGAAGTG